ACTGAAAGCTGAGACTCGTCGGAGGCTGAGACCACGAACAGCTTGGCCAAAAGACAGTCTCTGGTGGCAAGTGTCAAAGAAGTTGTGCTTTGTCTCTGGTTTGGTTTGATTTGCTGCTGAGTCTACCAGGTTAATCCCAGTGCCCCAGGAGAAACAACAGTCATCAGGCAGGTGTTGGGAATCCATGGTGACCACTTTCAAGAAACGGCTTGTGAGACACAGGAATTATTCTGCGAACTTGTGAGCTGGAGACAGCAAAGTCTGTGATGTACTCTGCACTCGCACGTGTCGATGCATCACTGCTCTGAGAATCAGAAAATAATTTGAGGGAAACTGCTGGTTTGAATGTCAAGATGCTTCCCAACTCCTACAGCGATTTTTTTTTTTTTTTTTTTTATTTCATCTGGAAGGCACTCTCTTCTGAGATAAAGTTCAAGTCACAATATAAGGAGATACTTTTCTGAAGGAATTGAAATGCTCACTTTGTAGGATTTAATCGTCTGCAGATGGGACCAGGATGGCCATTACCTGAGAGGCAGTGGCAGAACTCCAGAAAGCAGGAGCACGGCGATGGGTGGCAGAGGGCAGTGTGCTTCTGGTGTAAATATGCTTCCCGCAGCTGACTCCGTCCGAGATTATCTCTGGGCTGTATTAAGAGGAGAGAGAATACCTTTTATCATGTAGGCTTCCAGGAAGCCTAACTCATTCCCATCTTTTTTTGCAATACATAGTTGGGCCAGATGATTCCTCAGCTTCTTCAGTGGTACAGCTTGAACCAAAGAGCCCTTGTGTGGTGCCTAAGATGCCCGTGTAGCGGCCTCCATTAAAAGGCAGTCTGTCCCCTCCGGAAAATATTGGACGCTCATGAATTGCTTGTTTTCACAACCACCCTCTATTTTCTTATCATGGCTACAGCCACAGGGAGAAGAACACGCAGGCTTCTCTCTCAGAAAAAAACGTTAAAAGACATTGGATATTTTCACTAAAAAGAGCTGTTTGCTTTTATGAAGTTTAGCACTTTTTACCCGGCTTTGGTTGTAAGGGGCATCTGAAGACCATCTCTCCTGTTTTGCGTTGGTCCTATCACTTCAGAAAGAGACTGGTCCAAATATCTGTACCCACAAAATGCTTCTGTCCCTGTTTCAGTGGGTGCGTTAAACTGAAAGCGTATTTATTTCGGTGTAAATCTTGTCAGAGGTTTTGTCTTCCCAGATGACAGTGCAGGGTCTTTGCAGAGGTCTTGGTGCTTCCCTGAATAGAATGTCAAAATTTGTCTTACTTTGTGATGGGTTCGTGGGTGCACTTTTCTAGATAACTTTCTTTGGTCTGAGGCTCACTGACTGCTGCAGAGTACAGAATCTCAGGGCAGTGTGCAACCTCGCACTTAACTGCCCGTTAAGAGTATTCAGAGTTTATAGGGACTGTCTTAGAGGTGGTGTGTTTTCCCAGAGCCCACCTCTTGCAGAACAGTTTCAGGATGTTAACACTGGCTCTGAGACAACTCGAATCGAGTCTGAGAGCTGAGAAGAATTTTCATGACAGTCCTCCACACGCACGTCTGTCTGCGCTCACCGATCACCTGGTGCGGGGCCGCAGGCGTAGCACGGTACAAGCACGTCTTCGGGCTGCTCGCGCCCAGCAGTCATCTGCTGAGCGCGGTTGTGACAGTGCAGAGGGAACTGGGGGACTCTCTCAGACAGCGGGACCATGTGTGGTTTTCTGTACTAGTCTTGCTAATTACTGGTGCTTAGCTGGAGAGCTCAGGGCTTCTGTCTGGGGAGTGCTGGGGTGTCCTGGGAGGCACGTGGTTTGCAATGCGACGGGCTTGCGTCTGCGTGCTCAGGAGTGACCTGCAGCTTCAGCCCCAGCGTGGATTGCTCCATGGCCTCCTCGTGCGTGTAAGGGCTGGGTACATGTGATTGCTGAGCTGTACTTATGCCTAGCTCTGATCCCACCAGGAAGGCTCAGAGGTTTTTCCTGGTCTTTGTTTCAACTCGGGCTTCATGCTTTGATACAACCCACTGCATTTTCCTTGCTTTTTGACCAACCAATTTCCTACTTTGGCTGCTCTTTCGTCTCATGGGCCTTGCCTGTGCTCTTGTCCTATATCCATCTCAGCCCAGACTTCTGCTTCAGCTCTTGTTTGTTAGTGCTGCTCAGCTGCCCACTCCAGTCTGCCTTTAGCTTTTGTTCTATTCAAGTCCTAATAGAGAACCATTTGTAATGAACAAAAAGTCAACCATGTACATGCTTATACTAGAAATAAGATCTCAGAAGATCTGTGGAGCCAAGTACGGTGCACAAATGACACCCAGAAGTAATGTACCCGCTGTCAGTCCTGAAGGTTTGGTTTATTGAGGCTCATTGCAAAGAAATGTTGAGGAATGGTGTCTTTTCCCTTCATACACCTCTAAGAACTCTAAAGTCTGTGCTTCGTGGGCTTCCCCATGGCTCCTGTAGACATTACTGGGTCTCTGCTCAGTAAGGTTTATGGATGCCTGTGATACCACTCCAGAACAGAATTATCCGTAAGGTTAGTGAGATGTGGGAGAAAGAATCCTGCAGGCGTCTGTATACCCAAGAAAATTTCATTACCATGACCATGAATTTTCCTTTTTTTTTTCCTTTTTTCCAGAAGAGAGTCCTCTAAACACCTCCCTCTGTTCACTCCAGAGTCACCTCAGTTTTAATGAAATACTTTTATCTTTGTAAGTGAAGATTGGAAGCATTCTGTATTTTCTTCTTGAGCACTTGCGGCTCTAGCCAAATAATTTTCTGTAATTTCAAGTGAAAAATACTTACTGTGGGAAATAGCACATAAGGCAGAATAAACATCCATTTCTAGTCACAAATCTCATTCTGTCTCAGACCTACAATTTTAATTACTTACATGAACCATCTTTTTGACAGACATATTCAGAATAATTTAATTTATCCAATAAAATGAAAATACAATATACTGGTTGGTTTTTTCCTGTATCTTTATTTAACAGGGAGTTTGGAGCTATGCAAAAATTCCTCAGATGTACAATAGAGAAAGTCATAGCTGGTTCAGGTTATGAACCAAACAGGTTTCTTTTTTTTTCAAAATGATTATGAACTTAAGCAGTTTAGTATTGAGAAATATAGCAGTAATATTTTAGGCAATGTATTTGGCACAGACTGTGTTTTATGTCTGTATTTATAGTTGTAGATGTGTCCATGTCTGATTTCAAGTTGCATTTTTTAACTTCTTTTTAAAAAAATAAGTGGAAAGTCTATATGTAAGTTATCTTGGGTCATAATTTTTTAACTTGTATCTAAAACGAATATGTACACAAGTATGTAAATAAGCACGTTCCACACAAATGCTTACATATGCTGTCTTTACAAATAGATTGTTATTGACATGTGTCTGTAACATGAATGCTTGTAATCCAGAAAAAGATTTAAATATGTATCTTTCAATAATTATTAAAATGCAAATATTAGTGATACTTTAACTTGATTTCTAGAATTCATAACTAATGCTGTATTTGGGAATCTGAAGTGGCAGAGATTTGTGTTTAGAAAAGGCTGTATTTCAATGGGGTTTTTTTGTTTGTTTGTTTTAAAAAAAGGTAGTTTTACATGGACTTGATCCAACACCCAGACAACAAAAGGAACAGATTCCCGCTGACTTTAGTTGGGAACTCTAGATCGGACACCAGCTACAGATGGGTTTGGGTTTTTTTTCAGCTGCTGTTAGATCGATTGGAAGACAAACGTGAAATAGAGACGATTGTGCAGACGTGTGCTTACGGGAAATGACAAACACGGTGGTTTAAGGGCGCAGAGACTTAATGGCTTTGATGTAAGGGATCCAAGACCCAGGCTCCTTGTTGCAGACCAGGTTCTGCTCTTGAAGCCTCAGCAGCTTGTGCTTTGCTGCTTGCTCTGGAAACAAACCAGAAAAGAAACTCCAAGGAAATGACTGCAAAAATCATACTAAATCTATTTCATAGAATGTACAGCTTAGAGAAGCAGTGTTTAAAAAGGAATATTGTGGACAAATTGTAGACTAATTTAATTGTACAAAGTAGAACTTTCTGTATTTGGCTTTCCTGCAAGACATGTTAGCATATATGTGCAGATATAGTAGACATTAGGTAGAACAAGCAGTTTGAATGAAAGTTGGAGGAAGAATCTCGACTTTAAGAATTTCTGAATGTTTAATTTTGCAATGTTAATGCTGATTCCTTCTAGTTAATATACCACAATCTCTATAGTGTATTGGCCGTAAACTTTAGATCATCTATATAATAAGAAATAATTGAACTGTAAATCACATTATGGGTGAATTTTGGCAAATGGAATGCTAAAACATGAATTTGTTGTCTTTGTTCAAGATGCTATGTCAAGGTCATTAAATGTTATTCTGTCTTGTGAAAAGCATTGGGTTTTTTCCAAACACTGCCTGCAGTAAGTCCAGGACAATGTCTTGTTCTCTTAAACTTGACCACAGTATTTTTTAATTTTTTGCCATGTTCCCGTGTCTTTCCCCTGCCAATGCTTCCTTAGTTTTCTTCCCTATAATTTGCCCTCACAATGTCCCCAGCTTCTTATTACGTTCTCTGCCATCTGCTATGCTGGTGTTGAGACTGGGGAGAGGGAGGGTTAAGGGCTGTCTGAGCTGCCCGGGCACCGACTGCCTGGATGACCACTGCCTTTTACAGATCATGAACAGCGTTGAAGGCCTGAACTCTTTTCTAGGGTCCCTCTTTTCTTGCCATTTGGTGATTTTTGCCAAACTTGCAGGTACTTGCTATTTTTGAGGACAAAATTTGGTTAAAGTTAGGTGGCAAGTTCTGAAGTTACTTTTGGCAAATAAAACAAGATGCACAGAGAAAAACTGGCTAAAAACATAGCCGCAAACTCTTTACACCCCCTTAATCCAGAAGAACACACTTTTGAAAGAAGGGTTTATATAAAACATATCCAGTTGTTGACTACTTAGGTATTGTCCTTCTGACCTTTTTTAGGTTCAGCAGATAGATCGTGTAGTAGAAGTTGTGGAGGAAACTATTAAAGGTAAGCATCACACTTGAAATAATTGCAGCTAGCCTGACAGATGTAAGCATTAGCTAGCAGAAGTGCTGCCGTTGCATTTTTTATCAACCTAATGCTTGCTTTCTCCTCCAGCTAAATGTTTGGTCAGTGCGATGCGTTGCCATGTACGCTTCATGTAAGTGGTAATTTCAGAGATCTTGTCTGGCAGGAGCTCTGTGGCTTCTTGGATTCATAGGTAAATGATCCTGGGAAGACTTCAAGAAATTATTTAAGTTGCATCAATGCAGTTGAGGAGTGTAGCGTATTGTTTAAAGTTTCTGTGCTATCTTAATTCAGTGCTGTCTCTCTACTTTAGTCCTCTCGTGTTTTCTTCTTTTGAGATGTTTTGGCTCACTTCCTTGTGCTTTCCTCAGCAGGACAGATAAATTATCCGCTGGTTTAATGTTCTTTTGTGACTGTGTTCCTTGTTCTCCCTGGCTGTCTTCATGTGTGTGTACACGCAGTACTTTGCAGTGAAGGGGGGAAAAGACAGTATTGTTTCTGCAGCCTGACTAGTAAACATTTGCTATTAAATAAATATATTTGTCTGGGCCTTTCTGGGTTACCTAAGTTTGTCTCCATTACTTATCAGGCCATAAAAATTACTGTGCCATGAAGCTTTAAATTGCAAGGTTTAGTTTAATTTGCTGTACTTTCAGTATAAACAAGTGTCTGGTCCACAAGTCATTGCCTGTAACTTTAATGCTGGATAATATGGTGTTTTTGAAGTACAGCATGAAAGTGTAGAAACAGTGCAAAATTTTAAAAGGGAAAAAAAAAAAGTTTCTATCAAGAAATTGCCTAGTGTGGTACAAGGCTTCTAGAGTTTGTGGTTTGAAGGCCTTAAGGTTTCATATTGCTTTGAATGCTTTCAAAAATGGAACCTGTACTCTTACGTACGCCCAGCCAAAACTTTTCCCAGTTTATCCTTACCTTATGGCATCGATTTTTCTAGTGTACAACCTACTCTACGGTGCAAACAAAGAAGAAACACATTCAACGTATTTACATTTGTTATTAAATGTCAAACTGTTTTCCCAGAAACATCATGGTGTTTATGACAGTGTGTTGGAGATGGGGATGCTTTGTGATTTTTGCAACAGCACAGTATTTCAGGTCCCTATCTGATTTTCCTGAATTTTATTTGTCCTTAAGGGAGTAAGCTGATAACCTGGGTCAGCATGCCCTCCCTTTACAAAAATGGACTTTTGTAATATTTATACTAACTCCAGACATTACTGCTTTTTCAGTTACTCGGGTTGTTGTGACTGAATATTATATGACTAGAAAGAAGACGAACTATCTAGTAGCAGATGTTAAAATCATGCTTTTCATAGGACTGATTTTAAGATTGCATTTTACATATTGATAGAGTTCTGGAAAATAACATTCATAGACATGTTAAGGAACATTTGAACTAAGAAGTGTGAATTTTGGGAAAGATTTTGGTTCTTTTCTAGCTTACTATAAGTGATTTGAATATAAGGGAGTAAGTGGGCTGCTGAATTCCGTGCAGTGTCAGTTCCTTCAGGGATTTCTTAAAAGGTAGTGGAATACAGGATTTCTGAAGTTTTATTGGAAAAAATGAACAAAAATGGCTCCCCAGTGCAAGAGAGACGTGGACAGTCCAACGAAGGGCTGTGGTTAACATCTCTCATATGAGGAGAGGTGGAGGGAGTTGGGACTCTTCAGCCTGGAGAAGAGAAGGCTCAGGGGGATCTCATCAATGTGTATAAACACCTGAAGGGAGTGTGCAAAGAGGATGGAGCCAGGCTCTTGTCAGTGAACATCTTGTTGTCTTGAACATCAGGGAACGCTTTTTCACTGAGAAGGTGACTGAACACAGGTTGCCAGGGTGGTGGTGGAGTCTCCATCACTGGATGTATTCAAAAGCTATGTGGACATGGTCCTGGTCAGCTGGCTCTTGGTGGCCCTGTTGGAGCGAGGGGATTGGACAAGCTGACCTCCAGAGGTCACTTCCAGCTGTAACCCGTCTGTGAAAATAGGATTTCAATTGGAAAAAGAATCGACAAATTGACAGGGGTCACAGCATATGATAATGACTTCCTTTTGCAAAAGGCAACCATAAAAACAGGAGTTTTTACGTGTAATTATTAAATTTGTTTAAAGATAATGCATTAATTTATATATTTGGGAATCATCTTCCACTAATCGAGAAGAATGTGAATCTCTTTTTCACTGTGTTTTATGAAAGTCTTACCGTGAACTTTCATTATCCAAGTGAGGTAAAATACTGTAGGTAACAGGACTGTTGGTTAACAATATTTTATACTGTAAAATGGATATATTGTAGAAGCTTAAATTCATGTATGTAAACCCAAACGAAATGTAACCCTCTGTCTTTGTAAGTCTGTGTCATTAGTAACAACTTCTGAAGCTGCAAATAGGTCCAGGAGATGGAGGTGGTGTGGGACAGGGGACTAAATATAAATTCTGAATTCAGAGCCAGCTGATATTAGTAAGTCTTAAGTTGTCTGTCATAATTCTATGACACAATTTTCTTCACCTATATTTTAGAAGAAAATAAAAAGATTGCATGGGTGGTATACTCCTGAAATTTGGCTATGTATATACTGGAATTTAAAAAAAAATATTTCTATTGTGTATTTAAATTGACTAAGTTTAAAATGCATAGCATCTACACTCTGTAGGGCAGCTGTCTCTGTAGATCAGTTGCCTAATCCAACTTCTCCAGACTTTCTGTCCGGATTTCAAGGTGGTTATCCTAGTTGCCAGTTGTAAGTCTAAAAGTCCAGCTTTCCTTGGGTTCCCCTTTTGCAGAGTGGTACTGCAGATTTTTCTCAGATGCTTGAATTTTGTAGTGCACAGTTTACAAAAAGGGAAAGTTTGTAAAAACAATTTGCCGCCTCCCCTTGTTTTTCTTAATAGTCGTCTTTCTGGTTTTCCAAGAAAAGGGCTCCGCTGTTAGATTTGGTTGGAAGCTTACCATACTCCCAAAGAAAATTGCTTTCTTCTAATTATTTAGAACTGTGTATGAAATACAAAGGGATTTCTTTTCGCTTTATGTCTCAGTCTTAAGGGCGTTGTCAGGAAACTGTCTTCAGAACAGTGTCATTCTGCTGGTTCAAGAGATGGTTTCAAGAAGTAGATCTCTATGGCAGTATTTACCTCATCTGTCTGAAAACAGCGTATTTGCCAGTTCCCAACTTTCCATTGAGATAATTCTCTTAAACACTTTTTACGTGACTTTACCTTTTCATCCTTCTTCATCAGCAAATGAAAAAGGATGCTCATGTGTTTTATCACACTAACAGCCAGAAGAGGGAGAGAATTTTTAAGAGACCCTGTGATGTCTCATTTTTATACCACTCTGACGTATCATGAGTCTTATGGAATTTTGAAAATTCCTAATTGTCAGGTAAACTGTCATTTCCAGAAGTGATCTGTAATAACTGTGCAGTATTTGTATACAGGTCACGTCTGATGAATATTTATACTGTGTCCCAAGATGTATTTTAACTAGAGGCATCTTCAGGTACTTTGATATTGTATCTTATAATCTGAAACCTCTGTACTGCCTACTAGAAACTAAACAAATCAATGCGATCTCGGCCTCAGAATTAGGTTTCTCAAAGTGACGGCCACAATCGTGTAGCCAGAGTGTGTCAGTCTTTCTAATATACAGAGCAAGGCTCTGATTTAACAGTTTAGTAAACTTTGCTTCATCTGCACGTTACTCAAATTACAAGACTGGATTACAGCAATTTTTACATCATTGAGAGGTGCCCATTTCCACTGGTGTGCCTAGTCTCCCAGTAACATGTTATGATGATACAGCATGTTGGGAAAGTATTGCTAAGGAGTTGCAGTGTCTGTGAGCTAGGAGAAAACAGGGTTATAATTAATGTGTCTTCCATCATTAAGTAAAATTTCTGTACAGAATTTAAAAGCTGTTCGGGCTATCTAGTATGTCCCAATACGATAAAGTTTTGTCTTTGATGGGAACCATAGAATGTCTTTATGGCAATTGCTCAAATCAGCATTTCATGAACCACTTTAAAAGCTGTCTTTAAAAAAAACATACAGTGTGTGCACAAGCTTGAATACAAACAATTTACAGAAGGCAAGATAATACATTCTGTAATTTAAAGGAGAAACTTTAACTACTTAATGTAGAAATTCTTTTACTGGTTTTTAATTTATGCTTGCAGAAATTTGGGTCTTTTCCCCCCTCCCTTTGTAGACATGCTAGCTCTCAAATCCCACGTGGTTAAAGCTTTCTCGAGGTGGGAGGTGTGGAACCAGAGTGTTTGTGTACAGTCTGCTTTTAGCTCGGGCCTTAGGGAGATGGGGGACACAGGCTGAACTGAGTTTAGTCCATATTGTGTCTGTCTAACGCTTTCACAAAACATGGTTTTACAATGGGTCATTAGACCTGATTGTAAAAAACAACCAAAGGAAATTACTTCAGGGTTGAGCCTTTTATACTTCACGTAACCTTTCTTGATTTCAGTCACGTTGACCTGTCTGGTGAAGTTGCCCATCCATTCCCAGTTTAAACATTAACCAATATTTACTAACTGTTAAATTGTCCTCCTGTGGTTAGTAATTATGGATTGTTGATAGCTGCAGTGTCAGTCTGTATGAAAATGAGCAGATAAATGGTACCTGTATTATATATGGGCTGACGTATAGAATTTGTGCTGGATTGCCTACCTGAGAGTGAGAGAGCATGTGTGTATATGTATGTGTATGAATGCTAGCATATTAAGTAGTGTTTGTATGTGCTCTTTGATTTCATTGTAATCTGCTGAGAACAGTAGATAAAATACTCTGTTTTCAATTTCTGCTTGCGGGAAGAGTAGCCTTGACTTAAGAAGCTGATGACAAGCCAAATGAAGAATATGAATTGGAGGAGTCAGGAGCAACTTTTTGAGGAAAGCTATCATTTGGCTCCCAGTCAGGGAAGGGGCTGTGCCGAAGCGCGGCCTGAGCAGGGT